TGGACCTGATGATCTTTGAGGTCTTTTACAACCGGATTGATTCTATGATTCTGTGACTCATTTCACTTGGCATTCAGGCCGTTTCTGAAAGCCATCAATACATTTGTCCTTCTAAGAAATCAGTTCTCAAGATGTAGATGTTTCCCTTCATTTCTGTGCCTGACACAGCCACTCCTGTCAGTACCATGTCCTTTGGCTGGGGACAGCCCTCAGTCACAGCTGGGCTGGAGGTACTTGGCAATTCTGAGATAAACTCTAAACAAACTCTGGGCTGTGGCCAGGAATGCTGTGTAAATCCCATGCTGCCAGGTGCTGAGTGGGGGAAATGTAGGCAGCACAACCTTAAGGCTTCAGAAATCCCTTCTGTGTTTGGAGCTGCTGAAGTGACCTCAGTCAGCAGCAGTGTGGGAAGCTGCTGTGCAGTACAAACATACTCAGCTTTGCTTTGATCTTCTCTCCTACAGTTCACTGCAGCCTTTCAATCTAATAGAGCTTCCCAAAAAGACAGTTTGGATCTGTTCAAAGTGGCTTTTCAGCATGAGGAGTGTTAGGGTGTTGAGGCACTGGAATATTGCCCAGGGAGGTGGTGGAGTCACCATCCCTGGAGGTGTTTAAGAGGTGTCTGGAGGTGGCACTGGGGGATAGGGTCTAGGAGTTCCAGCAGTGACAGGTAAAGGGTTGGACTTGATGATCTTAGAGGTCTCCTCCAACCTTGGTGGTTCTATGACTCTATGAGATGAGTTAATTTATATATAGTTTTCTGCAACTGTTTTACTCTGTTGCTTTGGTTTTGATCTCGCTTTGATGCTTCGAAAGCATAATTATTATTAAAGATCACCCTTCCAACATCATCAGCTCTGTTGGGCAGCTTTGAAGAGCTCAGCTGTTTGTTCTTGAGAAGCTGGACAGAATCTAAGTGACTCTCATCCATGTTCCTGGTGGAATCACCCTTGTGTCTGACTCCTGCAGGTACGACCGTCTGCTGGAGACGTGTTCCATCGCCCTTGTGGGCAAATACACCAAGTTCTCTGACTCCTATGCATCTGTCATCAAAGCTCTGGAGCACTCTGCACTGGCCATCAACCACAAACTGGACATTAAGGTAGGGCTGGCTCTGTGTGTGTGAAAATAGCTTCTCTCCATCCTCCTTCCACCTCCAGTGCTGCCCGTCCTCAGCAGGATTTTCACAAACCCATGGACAGTAAGGGAGAGTTGATTCAGCCAGAGAACTTCCACATGGGTGTAGTTGAATAATGGGGATAAATTGGAAGAAGGAAAGTGAGATTAGATCTTACTTAGTCAGAGGTTTTTGCTGTGAGGGTGGTGAGACACTGACACAGGTTGCCCAGGGAGGCTGTGGCTGCCCCAGCCCTGGCAGTGTTCACAGCCAGGTTGGCTAAAGCCTTGAGCAACCTGCTCTGGTGGGAGGTGTCCCTGCCCAGGGCAGGGGGTTGGGGCTGGATGATCTCTGAGGTCCATTCCAGCCTCTTAACATACTATGAACTATGACTTAACAAGGTGTCCTTTGGTTACAGCATCAAACCAGCTGTTGTTAAGCTTCAAAGCAAACTAGTCTCTCACCCTGTGAGCTGTACAATGATGTGTAGTGGATGAAACTCCTCAGCATAGTGTGCTGAGCTGTGACAGAGCAGTAGATGGATTTGGAGGACGCTGTCTGCTTTAATTTCTCTGGCAGCTGTTGCAAGTGGTCCTTTTTTAAGGTTATGGCTGTTAACCTTGTGGTACTCACAGATTTTGAGATGCTGCTGGTTCATGCTGTATTAAGGTTTTCATGCTGTTGTGGCTGCACAGAAATCAATCTGCTTTCACAGAATGAGAGTCAGTCAGGGTGGAAAAGAACTCAGATCATGGAGTCCAACCCATGACCTAACACCCCCATGGCAACTAGACTAGAGCACGAAGTGCCACGTCCAATGTGTCCTGAAACACCTGCAGGGATGGTGACCCCACCACCTCCCTGGGCAGCACATTCTTCCTGATGTCCAATCTGAACATCCCCTTTAGGGCTCTTGGTTGTAGCTGAATGCTCTGAAGGAGTGAAATCTGTTGCCAGAAATCTTCCTTTCATTTAAATACCCTTTTTAATGTCTGGTGGTTTCCTGATGCCAGTGGTCATGGGAGTGGGTGGTTGATTATAGCAGCACTGGTCTAGGTTTGGTTTACTTTCCAGCTTCCAAAATCAGTAGAGGAGAGAAGAAGAAGTAAGACTGGTGTAGTGCAAACCCTGCACAAGCATTTGGGGATGGTCCCTGACACAGCTGTGCCTGTGGCTCAGAAGGGGAGTGAGTTCTCCAAGCCCTGGGCATGGGCATCTTATGTTGGGGTAAAGAACTGATGAGCAGTATGGCAGCTTTCAAAGGAATAAAGGACAAAATGGTTGTTCAAAAGGGTTAGCAACCTGCCAGAACATTCAGAAACTCAGAGGTACTGCAGTAGTGGAGAGGAGAAACTGGAAAAATTGCAGGTTTTTCCCTTGGTCATAATATCCTTTAATTACAGCAGCCTGTGTTTCACCAGATCTGCTTCTTCAGTGCCTCTTGGAGATTAAAGGATGTGTATTTAATGAGAGTGCTAAAGGATGTGTCTTTAATGAGGTGGTGTCAAAGGAGGTGTGATGAGGCAGCCCATGCAGTTCCAGCTGGGTGGAGGTTTTTGTCTGCATGGCTGTGTGTTCTCACCTCTCAGTGCTCCATTAACACCTCATGTTAGAGTCTGGGGCTCGCAGAGCATCGTGTGGCACAGAGAACTGCAGAGAGGGGAGGAAAGACAAATCATGGCTCTGTGTGTGCACTGTAGGAGGATGGAGTGGAAAGCAGTTTTGGCTGGCAGACAGGAATTCGGCCCAGGAGAGACATAAGTATCCATTAGGAAACGAATCCAAAGCTAGCCAGGAGGAATGATGCTATCTTAATTTAATGAGAGTTCAGAAGACCTTGTACACTCTTGTGGCAGTGTCTCATCATCCCTGTTTGGATTCCTTCCCAGTATATTGACTCTGCTGACCTGGAGCCAGACACCCTGCAGGAGGAGCCTGTCCGCTACCATGAAGCCTGGCAGAAGCTGTGTGGGGCTGAGTAAGACTCTGCTGCTCTGGCCATTCCTTGGAGCATGTCAGATATTAACCTGCTAGTGCCAGCTTTGGAATTCAGGGCTCACTGGAGACTGTGCCCTTAGGCACTGTATCAGCACATTCTGGCAAACAAACACCTCTCAGGGACGTCAAGATGTCAAGTGGAGGATGGTTAAATATTGAGGGAGGTGGTGAAAGGCAGCAGTGGGGAATGATCCTGCAGGTGAGAGTGTGCCCAGACTCACCTGCATGATCAGATGGAAATAAGGAGAAGGGATAGGAACTGGTAAAGGCTGTTAAAGCCAGAGAGAGTATGGAAGGTGCAAATGGAGTATAAAGTCCTTTAGGAAGAAAGTGTGAGAAGGCAAAATGTGTTAGTATGCAAAGCAGTGCCAAGAGTTAGTGAAGCAAACAAGAAGAAGTGTGGCCTGTTAATCTTCAGGGAAGCAGGATTGGGGTGGGTTCAGGAGAACAAAGAACCTCCTGCAGAGTTTGGTGTTCTTGTGTCAGGCCAGCCTGACACTGCAACCAGCACCTTCCTCAGCACAGGCCTGAGGTGCTGGCAGACCTGTGAGTGCCACAGCATGAACCATTTCTGTGTGGTAGCCCACACTGTATTTGGGATCTTTGGGAAGGTAAAGTTGGCATTTAGAGAATATTTCCCTGAAAATTCTGCTCTGGTGCAAGGTGTCCCTGCCCAGGGCAGGGGGTTGGGACTAGATGATCTCTAATGTCCATTCCAACTCCTTAACATACTACAACACTATGAAATTGAGTGATGTTGGATGTGTCAGGTCATAGGAAGGCACGTGGAAACTGCTGCAGCCATGGAGGCTACTGCAGAGACCTTCTAGGAGGGAGGTCTTGCAAGCCCAAGATTTGGTGGTAGGGAGGTGGTCTGTGGTTTGGGGGGGTCACTCTGTGAGAGCCCCATGTGAATGGAATCTTCTCATCCTCACGCAGTGGAGTTCTGGTTCCTGGTGGCTTTGGTGTTCGAGGGACAGAAGGCAAAATTCAAGCCATTTCCTGGGCAAGAAAACAGAAAAAGCCCTTCTTAGGTGAGAAACATGTTTCATCCATCAGAAGAAAGAAAGCCAAGGAGGAGGTTGAGTAGCAGCAAGAGCTTCCCTGGTTTTCACTGGTGTCTGGGAAGGCAGTGTGGGAAGGCAGTTGGCTGAGGCAGCAGTAAGTGAGCTGGGAATGCAGCCTCAGCCCTAGTTAGCTGTGAAGTGCTCAGAGCTGGCAGGGGATGCCAAGGAATCTCTGCAGTGAGGGACAGGAGCCTCGGGGGAAGTGTCAGAGGAGGCTGTGGCTGTGCTTGGGTGCAGTGGCTGTGGTGAGAGGCTGGCAGGGGTGTGTGGGCAGAGTGCATGGGCAAGGGAGGAGAGCAGAGCTTGTGGGGGGACTCCAGACCAGCAAATCCCAGTCAGAGGTGTCAGCCAGGGTTTCCTCTGGCTTGGGATGCTTGCAATAGGGGCTCAGAGGTCCTTGTCCTGACCTGATCCATGTCCTGCCTTTCCTGCTTTTCCCTCCTCAGGAGTCTGTTTGGGAATGCAGTTAGCTGTGGTGGAGTTTGCTCGCAGTGTCCTTGGCTGGCAAGGTAATTCCACAAATCCCTTCTGCCTTTCATTTCTGGGATTGCTTGAGTAATCCCTGTGAGTTTTAAATACCTGTAACCTTTACTTTTTCATAGGGAGGTAGACTTAATTTCCTTCTAGGCCTGTCAAATTCCCAATCTCCTTTGCTAATTCAAAGGAAAAAGAACCATTTCCTTACCCAATTCAAATAAAAATCAGTGAAGTCAGGTTTATGATGACAGAAAAGTTCCTATTGCTTAGTGTGAGCTCAGCTCACCTCGGTGCGTTGTGCCTGTGTGTTCTGGGCACTGAATTCCCAGTGAAGCCCAAAAGCAGTTCAGCCAATCAGCAGTTGCACCTCCTTCAGTGAGTGGATTCTGAGCTCCACTGCATGGATTGAGCAGGTCCCTGGTGTCAAAACTCCCTTCACAGAGTGCTGAATGGAGTGCTCAGCCTGACCCTGAGTCGCACCAGGAGCGAAGGTGGGAAAAGGTGTTTCTTGGAGCTCTCTGCTCCCTTCCCTGTCCCTGGCTTTATTTATACATTCCAGGCTGTTGAATGTGCTTTTCCTGAACAACCCTCATGTTCATCACCAACTGCAAGATTGCAGCCTCCAAAGCTGACACCAAACAGTGGTGACAGCCCTGTTCCTGGAGCCTGGGGTGGGCTCTGTGCCCATGGAGCCTCAGCACAGCTGGACACGAGAGGCAGCTGTGCCTGGGGCAGGTCCTGTGGGTGTGTGTCATGGAATTCCTGGTCCTGATTGCTAAACTTCACATTGCAGATGCAAACTCAACAGAATTTGACCCCAAAACTTCTCATCCAGTGGTGAGTTCATGGTGACTTGCTTGTAATATCTGAACTGTGCCAATCTTCTCTGCACACCCCTGGGCACATCTGCCCAGAGCACCTGTGGCTGCTCCATCCCTGGGAGTGTTTCAGGCCAGGTTGGATGGGGCTTGGAGCAAACTGGGCTGGGGGAACGTGTCCCTGCCCATGGCAGGGGGTGGGATGGGATGAGCTTTAAGATCCTTCCAACCCAAACCATTCCATGATTACCACAGACAAACCTGGATTCCTTGGAACACTTGTAGGCAAATTTTGAAGCTGCATTTCCTAGTCTGCAGGCTCTGTGTGCCTGCCCAGTGTCCACCAGAACGATTGGCTTCTGCTGCAATTAAAAATGCTGCTCAAAAGGATAAAGTTCTCAAGAAGTTATTTCTCAAAGCACAAGTGGCTCTGATTTGGGGATTTTGTTTCTCTAATTGGTTTGTGTAACTTGTAGGTCAGTAAACAGCACAGTGCTGGTGTGTGGGATCTGTGTAGGCTCCAACTGAGGCTGTTTCCTATCTGAAAACTTCCTGAATATCCACAAACCTTCTAGATGTTCTGTGCAGCCTTTGCTAGAGTAACTCAGCCAACTCACCTAGCTCTGTTGCTCTGCTTTGTCCAGACAATGTTCCTTGGGTGTTTGCTTGGGTTTTGCATGGATGGTGGTGGGTTTTTACCCTTTTTTCCCCCTTGAATGTTTCAGATCTGCCTGGCACTGTTTTTCCTCCCTCATTCCCACCACCATCTCTGGATGCTCTTTGCAGGTCATAGACATGCCAGAACATAATCCTGGGCAGATGGGTGGGACCATGAGGCTTGGCAAGAGAAGGACACTCTTCCAAACCAAGAATTCCATCATGAGTAAGGCCCTTTTTCCCTCTGGAAGTGTTTCCTGGGAATGCCATGCGTATATGGGGAAGTGAGGCTTGGGGATGTGAAAGCATCCAGGTGGGCACAGCCTGTTCTGGGAGGGAAATGGACATCAGGGATTTTGGTCCCTGCTCCAAGTGCCAGGTTCTGATGGATGTATTACAACTTGGTACCACTGCTCTAAGGAACATCTTCCCCTTGGTGCAGGGAAGCTCTATGGAGATCATGAGTTCTTGGAAGAGAGACACAGACACAGATTTGAGGTAAAAATGCTCTTGTAGGTATTGAGCTGTTCTGTGTTATGCAGACACAATAGGTCATGGCTTGTCCTGTGTCTGGTCTTCTAGGTCAACCCAGAGTTGAAGAAGTGTTTTGAAGAGCAAGGTCTGAAGTTTGTGGGGCAGGATGAGGAGGGAGAGCGCATGGAGGTGGTAGAGCTGGAAGGTGAGTCCTTGTTTCCATCTGGTTTGTGGGTGTAGGTGTGGACAAGGGAAAGTCTTTGGGAGGGTCATGGAGCAAGTTCTTGTGTGGGACCAGTTCAGGCTGTCTAGGAGTGATACCATCCATAAAATGATGGTGAAGAAGAATCCTGTGTGTCTGTCCATTGAGGGACAAAAGGCAGGAGGGAAGTGACACTTCTCATCCTCAGGGGGAACGTGGTCAGTACTGAGCTACAGCTCAGGCATAGGGTTGAGCCTTGCCATGACTGTGTGTTTGTTCCCCCAGAACATCCCTTCTTCGTCGGTGTGCAGTACCACCCTGAGTTCCTCTCCAGGCCCATCAAGCCTTCCCCCCCCTACTTCGGGCTGCTCTTGGCCTCTGCAGGGAGACTCAGCCATTACCTGCAGAAGGGCTGCAGGCTCTCACCCAGGTGGGTTGAAGGAACTGTTGGAGCAAGGCCAGAGGAGGCCACAAAGCTGCTCAGAGGAACTGGAGCACCTTCCCTACGAGGACAGGCTGAGAGAGTTGGGGCTGTGCAGCCTGGAGAAGAGAAGGTTGTGTGGAGAGCTCAGAGCACCCTGCCAGGAACTGAAGGGGCTCCAGGGAAGCTGCAGAGACTCTTGGTTAGGAACTGCAGGGACAGGACAAGGAGCAATGGGGAGAAATGGAAAGGGGAAATTTAGGTTAGATCTTAGGCAGAAGTTTTTGTTGTGGGGGTGGTGAGACGCTGGCACAGGTTGCCCAGGGAGGCTGTGGCTGCCCCAACCCTGGCAGTGTTCACCGCCAAGTTGGCTAAAGCCTTGAGCAACCTGCTCTGGTGGGAGGTGTCCCTGCCCAGGGCAGGAGGGGGCTGGGGCTGGATGATCTCTGGGGTCCATTCCAACCCCTTAGCACTATGAAACTAAGGAAGGCCCAGGCAGATCTGTGACAGGACACTGCTGCTTCCTGCAGGATAAACCAGACAGTCCTCTTGGCACAGTTCCTGGGGGTAACTGGGGATATTGCAGCACCTCTTGTGTCCACTCTCTTTCTTTGAAAGCTCTTGCCTGGAGTTTGAGGCTGAGTGTGAGGCCACAGAACTGTCCCACAGCTTGGGGGGCCCTAGTGTCAGGGAGAGAAACTCACAGGTGTTTGGGGAAGCTGAGGCTGAACCTGCTCTTTTTTTGTGACTGGAGACCTCCTGGGCTTTTCCCCATGTTCCTACTACAAGTCCTAGATACAGTTTGGCCCATAAGAAACTTGTTCCTGCTGCTGCTTTCAAGAACAGGCCCTGGGGGTTGCAGTTTCATCTGCTTCCTGCTGCCTTCAGCTTTCTCTGTTTCAGTTTGCAAAGCAGCTGATGATTTGAGTGGATTTAGTGGTGCATTTACCTGTGCTGCTGCTCCCCAGTGCCTGCAGTTGGGCTCAGCACTTAGGCAATGTGCCACAAAGAGCCACCACTTGGTACTGACCTGTTTGCCTCCTGGCAGGGGAGAACTCTGGGGGGCTCTGAGTGCTGGCAGTGCTCACCAGGTGACATGCAGAAGAGAATGGGCAGTGATTGTGTTAAACCCAGGCAAATGCAGTGCCAAAAGGAAAGTGGTAGGGTATTGGGGAAAATTGCTTCACTGCTTCACAACTCAGGCCCTGGCACAGCTGCCCAGGGCAGGGCTGGAGTCACCATCCCTGGAAGTGTTCAGAGTACGTGTGGATGTGGCACCTGGGGATGTGGTTAGTGGTGGCCTTGGCAGTGCTGGGGGAACTTAAAGAGCTTTTCCACCCTTAATGATTCTGTGATTCCATGAAATGGAGTGGCTTATGGGTAGGTAACCAGGCTCCTACTTAACAAATTTCCTTTAGAATAACTTTGCCTTTTAAAGTACCTGTTATGCATCGTTTGAATTCCCAAACCTTAAAGCAGATGCTGCCCCAGCCCTGCTTCCACAGGGAATTCCACTGAGAATCCTGTGTGCTCTGCTGTTCCCCTCAGCACTTACACCAAGCCTCACTACCTGCTGGGGCAGATCTCAGTCCTCAGAGCCCTTGTGCTCCCTCAGCCAAGCTCACCCTCTCCCCTGCAGGGACACATACAGCGACCGCAGCGGCAGCAGCTCACCCGACCTGGAGATCACAGAGCTGAAGTTCCCAGCAGTCAATCATGACTGAGTCCTGGTATGTTTAGTGCCCTCCACCTCTTCCTTGCCCAGTCTTCCCTCCTGGCATCTGTTTCACAGAAAACTGGCACACCCTGAGCTGTGCTGGTGCTCACAGATGTGTTCCAGCTGTGCTGAGGGGTGGGGATTGCCTGGCTGGGTGACACATGGGGGTGGCTGTTCCCTTGGCAAATTGGCACATAACAAAGTGTAAATAGAGGAGTTTGGGGTTAAATTCAGCTGAAGAATCCAAGCAGCAGTGGTGCACACACCCTTGAAACAGGGGCAGAGCTGAGCCAGGGGGTCCTGGGTTTAGGGGGTTCAGTATTTTGGAAGAATCTCTCACTGTTGGCATAGAATGTTTCGGAAGGAGCTGTTCTGTCCTTCTCCTGGGGCAGCAGTTCCTGTCAGTCCAGGGGCTGAGCTCTATTCTGGTGGCTGCAGATGTTAACAGGGCTGTGAAAACTGCATGTGCACAGTCCAGTTGGGTGTCCCAGGTGGACACTCGGACGTGGCGCTGCGACCGCACCAGGTGTGGGCTGAATTTTGAAGGGAGTTGTCCCTCTGTGGTAGGTGATCACAGATGGGACATTTCTCCTGCTGTGTCTGGTGTGTGGTGGTTCTGGAGGAGCTCAGCAGCCTCTGTGCACACCCATGGGGTGAGAGCAAAGCTCACTGCTGAGTGCCAGGGCACCCAGCAGGCCCAGCCCTTCTCCCCTCCCTCTGCCCTGTGCTAAACAGGCACTTCCACAGTTACCTGCCGAGGGAAAACAGCATCAGCCTCAGTGGCACAGCCCTGCTCCCCATCCCTGGGCACAGCACTGGGACCAGCTGCTGGCATCACTCGGTGTTGGGCTGTCCCACAGCTGCTGCAACACTGAGAGCTCAGGAAGCCTGCTAATCTTTTATCCTAAAGATCCTCTGAGCCTTTGGCTCACTGACAGCATCCCCTGTGCTCCCTGGTGGCAGCTCTGGATCTGTTGGGACCTGGTGGCTTGGAGCCTGTCCCTAGATGAGGAGGCTGTAGGGAGGGTGGCACAGTGTGGTTTGTCTCCAGGCTGCTGGACATGTCTCAGCTCAACTCCTAACAGCTGCAGCACAGTGAGGATTGTCCTCTGGGCAGAGCTGGGAAGGGCAGGAGTGAAGCCTTGGCTGAGGGGAAGTCACTGCCTTTTGGGTTGTCCTGGGCTCCCCATAAAACCAACTCTGGGCCTAGGCAGAGGAGTTGTCAGGGCTTGTGTGTGACATTTGTCTGGTGTGACAGACTCAGACTGCAGTGCTGTGCAGTTCCAGCCTGTTGCTCTTCCCTGTCAGTAACTCCTCTCCTTTCTCTCTCCATCTCCAGGTGTGTCCTTGGTGCAGAGAGGAGTCTCCATTAGGTTTTCCAGGAGTTCTTACAGCAATAGCTTCAACACCCTCAGCTTTGGGCTTTCCTAACTTAGGGCTTTATCATTTTCCTTCTGAGATCCTGTCCCTTTATTTCCTCAGCTCTTGTGTCCTTCCTTGCTTTCTTTTCCATGTAGATCCTGGTTATTTCTGGAGGAGAGCCCACACAGGCCCCTCCAGCCTTCCTTCAGTTCCTTCAGTGAGTACCAGCTTGGAGATCAAGGCACAGTGGCCTGGGGGATTCCATGTGTGTGGTGAATCCCATGGCACATGTCCTTCCCAGTGCAGGGAATGCTGGTCTCAGGGTGCCTTGGACACTGACAG